TCCCTAGATGTACAGGGGCTTTCAGATAATGCCACATGTTCAGTACATCTACACAGAAGCTTCTGAGAGTCTTTGTGGAGTCAAGCTGGAGGTCAACAAGTACCAATATCTGATTACAGGTAAAGAACAGTGTACTTTTTCATAAACAAAACCTCTTCCATTCTATCAATACATCTGCTAAGGACATGGGCAGCTGCGTAGACAGCTTTATGTGCAGCTTCCCAAGTGTTAAGATGGCCAACAGTATGTTGGTGTTCAGTACCCTTTAATGCCGAGAGTCATTTCACTCTCTATATTTCCCTCTCTTTTCTCAAGTATCTCTTATAGCCAGCCTTGCCGTGGCAAATATGCTGTATGACAGTCCACAACTGTCGATTCGTACCTGAGGTGGCATGTTTGTCACAGAGATCTGGTTGCTACTCAGCTGTGCCAGAAATGAGAGATAGCTTTTGAAATGAGCTGGACAAATGGCAGGCTGCTGAGATGGGGGGGGATGCAAGGAGATAAAGGTGTAGCAAGCAGTTGCCAAATTTTGTTTCTAGTGAAGGTGTTAATTCACTTTGCTCTGTTGTTAAGAGGAGCTTGGCAGCATTACTCACCTGCATGTTGTTGGTGCTTACAGCTGGCACAACACTCCTATAACATACAGAAGTGCTGTAATCTTGCTGGCCAGAGATTCCTGAACCAGTTAATAAAAAGAAAGCAGTTGCTGAGCAGTGACTGAAGCCAAACATACTGAGAGCATTAGCAATCTCAGGAAACGAGAAAAGTGCTTGAGCTGGGAAGTGCTAACTTGTGACCACGTCTCTGTTTTCAAGGCCGTGTGTATGAAGGGAAGGTTTACACTGGCCTGTGCAACTGGTATGAGAAATGGGACCGGCTGACCCTGTCCCAGCGTAAAGGACTGAATCATCGTTATCATCTGGGCTGTGGATGCAAGGTATGTGTGTCTAATTAGCTGGCATTAAGACATTCAAACCCTAAAATTCTGTTTCCCCTGGCTGCTAATATCAATGATGCTGGTGAACAGCCAGGAAGAGAAATAGAGCACAACAAAGTTTTACAGGGAGAAAGTAAAGCTTAGCTGTAGTGTTGAGACCAGAGAAGAGACAATCAGATGAAAGTGCAGAGGCTGTGCCTTTTTAGTGCCCTGTTGGAGTTAACTAGGGTTGTGGAAAGCTTTCAGAATCTGCGCAGAATCATTTGCAGGTGAATGAAATCACGTACCAGAGGCTTGGCAAGATATGTCCAGCTTTTTTCCTGTGTAAACATTTTGAGTGCTTAAAACCTCACAGCCTGGCACTGGCACTAAGATTTTTGCTCATGGCCCCAGGCCTGCAAAAACATAAGACACAAGCTCAACTTTTCTGCACCTGAAAAGTCCTTTTGACTCTGGAATTACCTGTGTATGTGAAGCTCAGCACACGCTTATGTGCTAGCTAAACTGAGGCTGAATTTTGGGTTAGTAAGCAAGGTTTGTGGGTGTGGAATTTTGAATCCCTTGACTGATAAAAAACCATTTTATAATGTTGTTTTCCCATGTACCCTTACCTGATTGCTCTTTACAATTGCAGATTAGGCCCTGCTACTATTTGCCCTGCTTTGCCACCTCCAAGAATGAGTGCATTTGGACAGACATGCTCTCCAACTTCGGCCACTCAGGATACCAAGCGAAGCACTATGCCTGCATCCAGAGGGTGGAAGGTTACTGCAGCTGGTACAGAGGATGGGCACCTCCAGATAAAACGATAATCAATGCCACAGATCCCTGAGCACGCTATCCCTTCCTTATCTCCCCTCTCCCTTACTTGTGGCTGATCTTCCTTTGGACACTAACTCTTACCAGATCATGATGATGACAATGAAATTAGTGCCTGTTTTCATGCAAATTTTAGCACTTCGAACACTTAAAAAAAAGAAAAGAAAAAAAACGAAAGAAAAAATGTCTGTGCTACCTTACTGAATTTGTAATCACCTTTTCCATTTTTTTTGATACCACTCATTTTGATCAGACGACATTTGGGAGCTTACTTTTGCACACCAGAGGGAAAATGGGAGGGGGAAAAAAAAAAGAAAAAAGGAAAAAAAAAAAAGAAAAAAGCTGGAGCTCTTGCTCTCTTACATGTATCATTAGCTGTAGCAATATAATCTCTATTTTTTTAGGAAAACAAAAATCTAAAAACTATGCCAATTAGGCACTGTATTCTTCTATGCGCTGGCTTCCCATCACCCCTCCTCATGCACTAAGTGCTGAAAATATGTAGACAAATCTATTTGAAGGAAAACAGGTTTCATTAATCAGATTGGCAAATGAAGCAAACTGAAAAGAAACCCAGCCTAAACTGTGGAAAAAATGACATCCAGAAAAATCCTCCTCTATAGGAGAGATTGGCAATGTGATTGACTCCAGCAATGGGAGAATTCACCTGGTGTCTGACTGCATCATCTGGTAAAAGCATTGTTGACTGATTGTCCTAGCTAATTCAGTCACAGTGTGAATGCAACAGCACATTTAAAGTTCTGGCTTTCTCCAGAACAAAAGAAGAGTATATTGTATTTTTGTTGTTGTTTAAAAAACAAAAGCCCCATCCTCTATATTCAGGGAGGTAAATCTGCCTGCAGCAGAGTAGATGAAGCGCTGTGCCATCCTGTTTTGAGCAGCATTGGCCCCTGAAATTTTTGCAGCTTAGCTTCAACAGCAAAACCAGCTTGTGAACACCTTCAACCAAACAGATGCAAAAATGCCAACTGTAAATCAATCATGTAGAAGAGGGAAAGGGGAGACTTGCTAAAGCTCTTACTATTAAAGAAAAATCTATTGCCAAAATAGTGTTTTGCTGAAGTAAGATGTATATACACGTAATGACATAAGCTATTTTTGACAGGACGTGGAATATTTTTGGTGTTGTAAACAAAAGAATGGTTTGATTGTGTTTTAAAGACAGAAATATTGACATTCCGAGTCAGTGAGTTGTTTTTGAGATATTGAAGCTCCAGTGTATCTGCAGTAGTGGCTACAGTCATTGTTTGCTCTGTACCTCCTTGTGCCACAGTTCCTCCCCTGCAGCTACACTAGCTGCTTTTGTTTATATAGTGAAAGGAAGTGGGGGGAGGCGCTAGGCAAGGAAAAGTGGTCTCCTAATAAGTGCTGGCTGGGATCATAAAATCTCAGCTGCCCAGAGGATTCCTTCTGTGTCAAGTGCTGTGTTTCCCTCTAGGCACCATTAAGCATAGCTCTGTGCATGTGCTCATACCATGTCCTGCAGTGATGTGGGAGGAGGAGCCTTACTGTCTTGTGCTTTGCTGTTGACTGGAGAAGTTTTTTTCATTCTATTTTGTTTTTTATTAAGAAAACTATAATATAATTTTTCTTATCAAATAAAAGTATTTTAAGTTTTAATGATGGTGAAGAAGGGGTGCTGACGAAATGGGAGACTGAGTTTTGGATGGGGAGGGCTTGGGCAGGGAGAAGATTATGCTTAACTTCATTTTTGTATTATTATGATTATTTATCTTAAGTTTCCATATATCTTCAGTTCATTCCACTTAGAAAGCAGAGCTGCCACCAGCAGGAAAAAGTGTTGCAGTGATTCCAGCTTGAAGCAATACAGCATTTTACAGTCAGTGACCTCAGTTACTGGGGAATCATTTGGGACCTTTTTGCTGAATGGAAAGGAAGGGGTGTCTGAGATGGGCCCTGATGCATTTGAATGTTCCTACATCCTCTGAAATGCCCCATTTACTAGATGATTGTTGCAGCAAAACGCATTTAGCTTCATGTTTTACATGAACTTTAAAGGGTGTTTTCAAAGAATCGATGTAAGAGGTGCCTAGGTCTGCTGTGTATTTTTTCTTTTTCTAGCTGCTGAGTGGCAACGCAGCACCATACACATTGAAAGTCTGTTGGGTTTTCCTGTGATTCAGGCTCGGAACACTTTTCAAAGTCCTCTTCCCAGTGACTACTCCTAAATGACATAGGATCAGGTGGTGGGTCAGAATGCCGCCTCTTGTGGCCGAGTACAGGGCTGGGCTTTGGGCACAGTGGAGCAATCTCTGTTCAAGCTGTGCACAGCTGACAAAATCTGTGAGGGTCACTGAGGGCAGAGTGGAGCCATCCTCACTGTTTGCATCGTGTGGAGTCGGCATCGCCGGAGATGGCCATCCTCAGGCTCAAGACGACATCGCAAAGCTGACGTCTCTCTGAGCTGCAGCCACTTTTGATGGCTTTGGAAGGCTAAATGAAAATGCCCCTCGATGCAGTGAAGCGTTGATTTGAGTTTTCATTATACCGCAGCTCTGCGTATTTTACCTGTCACTGATTCATTTAGCTAGCTGAGACATCACAGTATTGCACTCAAATTATTGTGAAAATATTTGCATTCTAATACTAAGAGGACTCGTGTCCCCAAGTAGGATATAATGTAGCGATGTGCTTTGTAAACAACAAAACAGCAGATGCATTACCAGAAAACGAAGTGTATTCCCATTTTATATTGCAGACAGTAAAATATTTCTGAGGTGCAGAAAGCTAGACCAGCAAGGGTGGGGGTTTGGTAGCAAATCCTTCCCCGTGCTGTGTAAAGAAGCAGTTGTTAAGGCTTTTAAAAATGCAGAGCCAAAAGGAGGGGGAAGAATCCAGTAAAAATACATTTCTTTTGGGAGGCTTCTTAATTTTGTTTCTGTACATGCTATCAGGGACATGTGTTTCTTGGGCTAAGCTTTAGCTTGCGCTCGTGTTAAGAAACTGAAAGAAGGCTTCCTTGAAGTGGGAGGGGGCCTTTAAATGGATTCAACAGGCTCTACATCAGACTCAGACTTCTTCCTTTCTATCTGTTATCCTTTCTTCTGTCTTGCTAAGTCACTTCTGCCTGCCAATGGACAAAATTCTCTCCCTCATCACAGCAGGCCATGCAATATGTGGAACACCAGGCGTGGAGATGTGAGGAGCCAGGTGTGAAGTTTTCCCTAGACTGTTGGGCTATGGAGCATACAATGCTTTGCAGCAGCACAAATATCTTCCTGTCACCTCTGGCATGCTCCTCACTTCACCCCATAACCGAAGGTCAGAGTCAGTGGCACAGCTCATGTGAGCACAACTACTGGACATGTCCAGGATAAGTGCTTCCCCCCTGTCCATGCTTTAGATATACCAACATTATTAAAAGTACTTTTTTAAAACGCATAGCTCATTTCTAGACTGTTGCTGTTGGCTTTCTTGTTTATAGATGTTATTTCCTTTGGAGTGTTTTCCACTTTAGAATTACAGAAAAATATGAAAAAATATATTGAATGGTTGGAAAAGATTGGATTTGATTTGCCTTTTCCGTAATGAGAGGGGCTAGGGAGCAGGAGGAGATTTGTGCATGGAGTACCTTGAATAGAGTTCTCCTGTGGGAGGCTTCTCCCCTTATAAAACTGCCATTTTAGGTCTAAATTTCCCATGTTTTGAACAGTTACATGGACATTCAGGCAGGACTATTCTAAAACTTAAATCTATATGACTGTATCCCATTCATACGTGGCCGAAGTGAAATGCTACCTCACATTGAAGGGCAGCATACTGTTGTGTTTTTTACAGTAAAGACTGAGGTAAAGGCCTCCATGGGAACAAGTTTCTATTCTTTCAGATGTCTCTAAAAGTATATCTCACTTACTATGTATTTTATACCTTAGAAGGGCAGAACAAAATTAAGGGAACTGCAAAAATTTTCTTTTCTAGAAAAAGTGGCTTTTGGAGCTACCAGTCTTGAGAAAAATCTTTACAATCCACTGAAGTTTGCTGCTGCTTTGCCTGTACTGGCTTTTCCTTTTCTCTGTCACTGTCCTTCCTTCATAGAGCCTCTCTGCTGTTCCTGATAGTCATGGAAACTTGGGGAGGGAACCAAACCCGTGTGAAAAATCTTGTCCAGAAGGAATGTATTTGTTGCTAAATTTTCTAGCACTGTTTACAGTTTTCCTCCATGTTATTTATAAATTTTATATTCAGTGAATGTATATTGTCTTTTAAGGTAATGTTGCATAATGTTCACTTTTTATAGTGTCCTTTTATTCTAAACAGTAAAGTGGTTTTATTTCTATCACAGACATTCTGTCTCTGCTTCACTTGTGTTAGTTTCTGTCCACTTCAAATGTACACAAATGGATTTGCAAGTGGTTTTATTCATTTCCTTCCCTTTTGTGATAACGTTTCATTGGCCTCAAAGCAGATATTCCACCTCTGGCAATTCTTGTGCTTTGGTAAGGATCCTTCCAGCAGTCCCTCCCTCTTTTAAGAGGTTTATCTAAGAATTGTTATTGGGGTCAAAAGCCCAGGAGAAGTGGAAAATCCCTTTGAAGTTAATGTGTCCCACTTGTTAACTGGCCATAGGGGGTCACTACAGAGCAAGGCAGTCGTTATGGCAGTCATACAGCACCAGTAGGGCCTTGGAAGAACAGTTGCCAGACTGCTGTTATTTCCAGTAAACAGATCGCTGGGGGGAAGGTTGAATGGTGTGTGCCTGTGGCAAAGGGAAGAGAGGTTCATCTTTCAGATCTTTCCTGCTGTGGAACGTCAGAGCCTTGTGTCCTCTTCTTAGGGCTTGCTGTTTAAGGCTGGTTAAAAATGCCCTATTGTCTTGAGCTGGAAGCTTCAGAAAATGCATTTTCAACTAAATTAAAATGCCTACAAAAAAGGCCCTACTCTTAGAAATTCTCTTTATCTCACTTTTACTTTAGGAAAATCTCTACAGGGATGAAAGAATGAAACAGATTTCTGAATCTGTTCTATGTTTAAAGGTTTAGAAAGTAAGCTTTGGAAAGTTTTGGACGTAGAAGGATAAGGATCTCTTATGTAAGAGCTCCATTGCTTAAAGTATATCGCATTGCAAAGAGGTAAAACCATAATACTTATAAACACTTCCAGGGGGTCAGCCATCAAAGGACCACAGTGTATTTTATGAGTGCTAACTAGTACAGCTTGAAAATGCCTCCAGAAAAGGGAAGAAAATAGACTGGGAAGGAGGGATCATTATATTCCTATCTGACACATGGAGAAGCTGATGAATAGTGGGCAAGCAACTTCGGAGGTACTCAGTGGAGCCTGACTGCAGTGGAGTTTGCCTAGTGTAACCACTTGCACTCTCAGCCTCTTGCAGCCCTGGCTGCCATGAAGGTGCATCCAGAAAAGATCTCAAGAAGTTGCATAGATTCATTCTGTGAGACAGACACCCCCCCCCCACCTGGAAAGGGCTGGCCTGAATTTGCTCAAGTGGATTGTTGCTTCTGTAAATATTTGTAAAGTGTTTGATTTAAACAAGGTTACTCAAACTTGCTTGTCCACAATAGTGTTTGTGTTCAGATGAGATTATCTACAGTTTCAAAACGTTCTTGTATTCTTTTGGAAGTAAGCAATAGCATCTGCAGGAAGGTGATCAGTTATAAAGATAACAAATACGTGAAGTTAAGATCAATGCTCTGATAAACCAAACTACTGGGCTGGTAACAAATGCATTTACATGCCAAGGAATCAAGAATCAGATTCCCAGACAAGAAAATAAAGCTAGAAGAGCTGGGTAACGTATTTGCAACAAAAACCTTAATCAACTCTTTCAAAATTGCCATTCCTGAAGCAATGGTCAGACAAAGTCATAGCTGCCCTGAAGCATCACATATGTCACAAACCCCTCCTCATAAATCATCAGGAATTGTATACAATGGGATTTATCCACTAATTTGTCTTAAAACAAATTTTCACACAGTGTTTAAGAACCATCCGTAACTTTGTCTTGAGTAACACAGCTCTTACCACTGCATCACTTGCAGTGTATGTACATGGCTCCACTTACCTTTGTGATGTGCCTGTGAAATATGGAAGTGCTGTTGTCCGCACAGCATGGGTAGAGAACAGAGTATTGGAGCAGGGAGGTGAAGGACTGGCACTTCAAGGTATTCAGGTACCTAGCGAGCACCAGTGGGATTTTCCGGAAGTTGGGAGTGAAAATTCATGAAGGACTAGTCATCGTTTTAACCCAGGGAGAACAAGAGGCAGGAAGACTTCTAAACAAAGCCACTCGTTTTGCCATGTTGTCCAGGACTAAAGGCACCTATGCAGATCTCTTTGGAAGGTGCCCTAAGAGTTTGGTACAGTGCCCAGCAGGCACACAGGGCACTGAGTGTTTAGTTGTTGACAGCAAGACTAGACCCCAGAGCCACTGTGCAAATGAAACATTACAAGCTCAAACAAACTGTTTTTCAAGAGCTCCAATTTACTTTTGATTACCTCGTCAGGCTGATAAACGTTTCATGGATGGCAACCATGTGACAGACAGACCAAGCAAACTGACATTGTGAAAGAAACACCTTATATGGCCCATGTCCCAAATTGTCAACATATTTCAAACAATTCCAGGAGGGGAAAAAATCTGCTTTATCTGAATGAAGTGATTCCTTACTCTAAGGGACGAGCTTTTGTTGACCAGATTTTACAAGGGATTTTTGCTTTGGTTTTGAGCCTGTTCCCATTTTGTACTTTTTCAGGGTTCATACATGACCTGGGGAGGGCTGGGCAAGAAAGGAAAGAGGTTCCCAGCAGAGATTTTTGCATATTGCTTTTTAGCTAGTAATTCCCTGTGAGTAAAATTGAGACTCTTCCCAGCATTCTAGCCGCCATCTCTCATGCCCAACTTGTATTTTTTGCTTCTCCCTTGTCCACGCTGGCATCAGAAGAAAGCAAAGGTACTCACCATCTGCTTATGGCTTGGGAAGAACGTTTGATCCACGAGGGGAAACTTCTCAGGACCCAGTGAGTTGAAGATTTTGATGAGCTGAGAGAACTTGAGGTGAGGGAGGGGGAACAAAAAACAGACAGAGTGGATGTCAGTGACTTACTGTGTAACAGGTAAGTGCTTGCAAAATGTTCTGATACTGGGGGGGGATTTCAGAGCAAGCAAAATGTTGTTGTGCCTTTCCCACCTTGCTTTTTTGACCTGAGAACAGTGAGAAAATATGAAGTTGCTGTATTTACCCAAGGCCAAGTCAGCCTTTGTACACAAACCTTGGACTAAGAGACTGGAGACGGGGCTCAAGAGCCAGAAAGGATCAGCTTAGGTTTAGTTACAGATCTAGTGTGAACAAGCTGTGCTTTCCAAATGTGGCTGGGGAGAGGGTAGGGGGCCCTGTTTGGGAGAGGAAAGGGCTCCGAGGAGTGCCCAGGCAGGAAATCAGTGCCACCGCTCCTGAGCACAGACAAAATAAATCAAAGCTCTTCCTTGGATCTCTGCCCATAGCCAAATCAAAGCAAGGCATGTTTCCCCATTGTGCTGGAGGGAAGGAGAATTGTTAAAGACAGAGATGACTAGAGTGAATTGCCAGTGCTACCTGGTTTCAGTGTTAGGCTAAGGAAGCATGAGCACACTGTCAATCATCACTATTGCAAACTGTTTATCATTCGGGGTTGTTCCCAGCCAGACACAAAGCTCCCTACGGTAGGACTGATTTCAGGTTCCGAAACCCCAACAGAATGCAGCACAACAAATTCCTGCTCAGCCTCAGCCATTTGTGAAGCAAGCAGACTATTCTGTACGTTGTTTTCAGTCTCCCTGTTGAATCTATCATTTATCAGCCGGAGAAAACCCCAGAACTGTATGAAAGAAACTTATCAGCCATGACAGAAAGTGTTGCTGAAGCAGGGTTGATATACCAAAGAGAATAAGAGGTGATACATCCCAGAAAACTTTTGGATCACAGGAGCAGCTTAGATTCTTTACGATCACACACCTAGCCATCCTGCTTTCCCTCTGAAGAGGTACAGCCCTATTTCCATGTACAATGCTGAACTGGCAGTGCAGCTGGTGGTTAGACTGGTAGCCTTGCAGGAGGAGGAATCATAGAGTAATTAGGGTTGGAAAGGACCTTATGATCATCTAATTCCAACCTCTAAAGCTGAATAAAGTAGCTTGATTATTTTCATGGATATTAAGAAAATAAAATGATTGGGGATTGCTCCATGAATAAGAATTTTGGTTCCTGCTTGCGCTGGTAGATGTGACTATTCCCCACTGTTTGCAAAGTAACTTACAAAGTGAGTTTACTTTCAAAGACCCTCAGAATTTGATAAAATCAAGTTAAATTAAAAGCCTCCAGTCTGGGCCAAGAGTCACTGTTTCACAAGTTCCTTCAAGTTTCCCATCAAAGGGATGCAGTCATCTTGAAGGGAATCTGTGTCACCTGAGGGAGGTAACACACAAATTAAGAGGAGACAGACATCCAGGGCATAAGGGAAGGGCAAGAAAGCCCTTTTTTTTCCCTAGTAGCGTCAGCTGCCTCATCTTACATGTCTGAGCACTTCTGAGCAACGGCTGAAGCCAGTAAATGTACCAAATTGCAACCCCAAGGTTACATTGCAGATAAAGAGATGGCTACCGAGAATGTTTTCTGCTGAGCTGCTGCTTTAAGGGCTTCTGTCCTGGTCTTCGGGCTAGTTAAGCAAAAGCATTTCTCTATAAGAAGTTGAAACTTCACTTGGTGGTGGTGAAGAAATACCCCTTTGAGAGTTAAATGGTGGAATGGGTGTGAAAAAGAGATGCAGCCAGTGTGCAAAAAATGAGGCTGCAAAGTGTGTGCCAGAGCTAAAGGGGCAGCTGCCAGCAGATTTGCAAACAAATGCGAAGAATTCCTTCCCTAATCTCATAGGTTAAAATGTGGCATTTAAAACCACCCAGAAAACATCAAGAGGTGGCATATCCCATCAATGACACCCCTCCCACCCCACAGCAGCAGATAATAGAAAAACTCCCCATGCAGAATGATTATTGTTGGCAAAGAGGGTATTGATGTTGGGGAGGGAGGACAGCTTGCTTCTCTTAACTACTTGCACCAGCTCTGCACATCCTAGAGAAGAAAAATAAAGGCCTGTTTTGACTGGGAAAGTGAGCAAACAGGGCTTAGAAATTAAACAGAATGAGGCAGAGAAAGGGCAAAGAGAAAAAACACCCTGGCTGAGAGCAGCACATGCCCCTTGATGCATGTGCACACAGCCCAGGCGAACCATGGACATACATTTAGGAAAACAGCTCCAACAAAGTAACTGGAACAACTGTGCAGCTGACAGACAACGTCCTGACTTGTTCCTTGGGCTTCCTTTTGAAGCATACAGCTCTTGGCTGTTGCTGAAATAGCAAGTTTCAGACGGAGAGATGAGAGGCTCAGCCATCTGGGAGCCTCCTTCATGTGCCAAGCGTGCGAAAAGGTCTGACTCTGGTATGGACCCTCATGGGAAAATTCCCTCCTTTTTGCTATCTTTTTCCTGCCAATTGTTAGGAACAGGATTTTGGCAAACAGACACCCATGTTACACGGTGCAGCAGCCTCTTAGATACCTGATAGCAAGGCTCAAGTAGCACCTCCCAGTGCTTTTTAGGTGGATTGGAATGTTATTGTCAGCAGCTTGGCTAGATATAACTGCTCCTTCCACATTTTGGTATTAGTTCTTACTTGTTGAGGTTCCACTCATTTTAGTGAGATTGTGGCCAGGCCACAGAGCAAGACATACAGCAAGGCAATGTGGGACAGCCTGGTCTTAAGTACCCTGAACAGGTACGGAAGTGAAACGCCTTGCCTGGCTGTTTGGACATCAGGGTTACTTACGGGGAGTCTTTATAGAGAAATAAAAAGATTCATTTGGAGGATCTACTCTACTCTTGTGAGACCCCACCTGGAGTATTGTGTACAGTTCTGGTGTCCTCAGCATAAAAAGGACACGGAGCTGTTGGAGCAAGTCCAGAGGAGGCCCCAAGGATGATAAGGGCACTGGAGCACCTCCTGTATGAAGACAGGCTGAGAAAGTTGGGGCTGTTCAGCCTGGAGAAGAGAAGGCTGAGTGGAGACCTCATAACAGCCTTCCAATATCTGAAGGGGGCCTACAAGGATGCTGACTCTTCATCAGGGACTGTAGTGATAGGACAAGGGGTAACGGGTTCAAACTTAAACAGGGGAAGTTTAGATTAGATATAAGGAAGAAGTTCTTTATTGTGAGGGTGGTGAGGCACTTGAAGGTGGAGCCTAAGGAAGTGGTGAATGCTCCATCCGTGGCAGTGTTCAAGTCCAGGCTGGACAGAGCCTTGGGTGACATGGTCTAGTGTGAGGTGTCCTCATCCGTGGCAGGGGGGTCGGAACCAGATGATCTTAAGGTCCTTTCCAACCCTAACTATTCTATGATTCTATGATTTTATCTCAAGTCCTTTTGCGTATTTTGAAAGTCCCTAGGTCATCAGGGAGCCTTTATCCCTTGACAGTCAACAAATTTGGCTAGGTATCTCTTGGGATCTCAAGACTTCACTTTTTCTGCAGTCTTACAGATGCAGAAGTTGCCTGGCAATTACGGATATTAACTGCAGTAGGAGTACTACTTTGAGCACTGTTGGTATTTGACTTTTCTGACAGAAATTATAATTACTGGTTGAGGCATTGTCTTTAGTGTGCTTGTAGCATTATTTCTCAGTAATTCTGGGATCATGGTAAAACTCAGTTTTCTTAGATATCTCCCTGTGTGTGAGACCCCCTGAATACTCTGTTTTTCTTTTAGAAACGCCTATTTCAAACTGTGCCCGTTTTTAATGCAAATTTTAACCTTTGAAGAAATTTGTGTATTGCAGCACTGGAAACCTGGCAAATGTCATTAAGAAATGGGGCTGCATGTTTGAATAAACTCAAATCCAAACTCAGCTGATTGTAATTAGAGTTGCTGAGAAAAAACATTGTTGCAAATTGCCAAGGAAAAACAGTCTCGCTTCCATCCACCCTCCAAAAAATCATAAACATTTCTATGAAATGGAACCATTTTTGGAAAGAATAAAAAGGGAGAGTGAAAAAGCATATTTCCCAGGGGTATTTAATTTCATTTCTTCATGTATCTCAACTGTTTTCTAGGTCCAGAAAGTTTCCAGTAATCTCAGTTAAGCAGATCCCTTATTTCGAGATGCCTGTTTTGCAATCGGAGTGTAATATGCACTGGAGTGCTCTGTCACTATCTCTAAATGAGATATCACAAAATCAGAGTTTTCTGATTCTCCTGCCACTGAAGCTTTCTGCCCTCAAATGCCCCATCACAATCCCTACCTGAGCTTCAGCCTCATAAAATGTCTATGGTGCCAACTACCAGCTCAGGTCCCATCTGAGCTCTTAGGCTACTCAATGTGTTACAGTCATGGGTTTGGGGGTGATGTGTGTGCAGGGGCAGTAGGGAAAGGAGGCATTTTGCAAGTAAGTTTTAAGTGTTTACAAGTGGTTTCCCTGACTCCTCTGGGAAGGCTGTTCAAGCCAGCTGTATTCCCCATGAGGAAAGCATGGTACAACTGCACCCAGAATAGCTAAAGCCAAGTTACTGGCAGAGCCAATTTCTCCCACACTGCCTTGCCAGCCCTGCTTTCCTTTTCTTTCTTTTTTTTTTCCCCCTATGTGCTGAGTTTGTTTGTTTTCTTTTATTTTAGATTCCTAAAAATAGGCCTGTCACATCTTGAGTCCCCTGTACACCATCAGAAACGTAATTACAAGGCATGAGTTGAAAAATGCCAACTAAATCCTGACTGACTCAATCCCAAAATCAGATGGAATAAACCACATGGCTGTCTTCCTCAGCAAAAGCCGGTGTAAAGGTGGAGGCTTTTTGTCTGGTCACTGGGGTCACAGAATCATAGAATCAACTAGGTTGGAAAAGACCTCTAAAAGATCATCAAGTCCAACCTTTACCCCAGCACTGCCAAGGACACCACTAAACCATGTCACTGAGGGCCTCATCTACACGGTTTCTGAACACTTCCAGTGACGGTGATTCCACCACTGCCCTGGGCAGCCTGTTCCAATGCCCGATCACCCTTTTGCTGTAGAAGAGGTTCCTAATATCCAGCCTAAACCTGCCCTGGTGAAGCTTGAGGCCATTCCTCTTGTCCTGTCACTTGTTACTTGGGAGCAGAGACTGCCCCCACTTCACTCCATCCTCCTTTCGGATAGTTGTAGAGTGATAAGGTCCCCCCTGAGCCTTCTCTTCTCCAGACTAAACCCCACCCAGGTCCCTCAGCCATTCCCCATCACACTTGTGCTCCAGACCCTTCACCAGCTCCATTGCCTTTCTCTGGACTTGCTCCAGCACCTGGAGCACCTCCTCCCCTTCATCTTCACCAAGCTTAGGGTGTGCAGAGCTGTTTCACATATTTTCATTTCTCTCTTCTGGCTGTTCCACAGCAGTTTCCCCCCAGTTTTTAAATATATTATCCCAGAGATACTACCACCATTGTTGATGGGCTCAGCCAGGGTTTAGTCTCTCTTGGAGACAGTTGGCACTGGCTCCATCAGACATGAGTGATGCTTCTAGCAGTTTCTCATAGAAGCCACTCTTGCAGTCCCCTAGCTACCAAAACCTTACCACACAAACCCAATACAACATGCTCTCCCCTTTCCTTCTGCCTCTTTCCCAGGTCTTTGTCATTCTAAATTCCTTTTTTTCCCTAGACCTAGCTGCTGAAGAAATCATCTCTACCTTTCTTGCCTTTCTTTTAATATAATTTCCTCACAACAGAGCACTAGCCAGAAAAACTAGGAAGAGAAGACAAGTGAGGTATTCACTTCTGCAAAGAATGGATCATCTTAGGCTGGGGCACCTGGATACCACAAGTGTGCATTTAATAAAAGATGCTGGAAATAGCATAGTCCAGGCACCTTGTAAAACAGCAAATGTTGATGTTTCTTTTAAGGTAGTTTTATTGTGTTTTGGTCAGGACAGTGAAGTGCTACTATTGATCTGATATTATTAATCTATTACTACTCATCTACTCTGCTTTACAGGAAAACTGGGCATTGTTGTACTGTTAGTTGTTTGTGACACATTTAAGTTTGGGACAGGTGAAACATCCTACTCAGGGTGAGGAAATAACACCTTGATATTACTACAGGCTGTCAAAGGAGAAGGGTTGCTAGTCTTTTCCCCCAGTAATTCCCAATTGGGATTCCTATGGTATTTAGATGGTGATTTTAACCTAAAGAGATGAATTCCTATGACTGGAAGCTGAGTTTGGTGCTTTATCAGTACCGGATACCAACTTTGCAGTGTTGGCATGCAGTAGAGCTGGCTTGTCACTTACCACCCAGGGCTTGCTACAGAAGTTGTAGATGGAGTAGAGGGAGTTGACTGTGTGGATTCCCCCGTACTGGAAGCCGATGATGAGGCTGCGGAAGTCTTCTCCCAGTGCCATGCTATAGGCGTGCTGCCGAATCAGGACAAAGTCTGGCTTGAAGGACCTGCAAGAGATGAGGGGGATGATGTTTTGCTTTCAAATGCTCAGCAACACTTCTAGCTTCCCCTTGTTCCTTTTCCATCCTTCCCTTTCTTTCTGTTAACACATGTTGCTCTCCTTTGGGCTGTTCGTCATGGGCTGCTTGTGTTAGAAGGTAACAAACCAAAACAAAACTCTAGTCATCTAAAAGGGGAAAAATCCAACATAGCTGCAAGTGTGAGAGCACAGAAACAGTCCAAACAGATTTGCTGCAGTTTCCATGTCACTCAGGCATGCACATGAACAAACCACAAGCGGAGCCAAGGTCATAAATTCACTGGGGGGGGGGATTCTCTTTTCTTTCTAAAAGCTTGGCCATATTTGGCAAGCTCATTGCAATGTGGGACGCAGATGAGGGAGCAAGTTTATTTCCTGATGATTGAACTGGATATTGAAGCAATGCCCAGTGGGTGGGAAAATCATAAGGGATTTCAAAAAGCTATTGTATATATCCATACATTGACACACATTCCCCCTTTAATCAGTTTACTACATACGCAGCACATCCCAGGCTTTTATGCCTTTGAGTCAACAAGTAAAGGGCAGGCATGGTAATGTAATTAATCAAATGAGCATAGTCTCTCATCCAGTGCTGTGACCCGTGGCGTGGACAACTTCAAGAATATTATTTAGTGAGACTAGAGCTGGGACTCCTATGGTTCCACAGCAGCAAACACATGGAAAAGCAAGGTCTTTTCTAGGTAAGCCAACAGGCTACAGATTATCTTTCAAACAGCCAGATTTCATTCCTTGCTGACGCTGCGTCTTTGGAGCCATTCAGGAATCTCTGGAAACAGCAGCTGGAAAAGAAACTGTTCCCAAAATGGAGCTCAGCAGTTCATTCTCAAAGGCATGGAGGGGGCTTTTCCACTGAAACAGGGGATTATTTTATTCTTTAATGGAGGTTGCATCAAGGACATCGGAAAAATTTCCATACTGTATTAAAGTTTTTCACAGAAATGAGCTCTGTAACCAGGTCCCATTACCTCACTACCCTCGAACATTTTCCCTACTAAGAGACTATAATTTCTATCCTCTGGATGTATGAGCTGGAAATACTTTGGGTTTATAGCCCCTATTTATATTTCCATCATTCTGGCAGGGAAATTCGAGATGGTGATTCTGGGCCAGATTGTGGCAACAAACACTGTATACAAAATCCAGTGAAAGCTTTGTTGTTTCAAAGCTGTTCATTTTGTTTGTTGGCCTTGGACTGTTGTTATCGCCAGAGACATGGTGAGGAGCATGCTTTGCTTTTGTGATGTAAGAGGCCAAGCTTTGGAAATGTTGTGATTCCCTCCCACGGAGAATTTTTAAACCCAGGCATGTTCCCTAATGTACTTGGCACCAAAGTTGGTGCTTTCCTTCAGCAGCGAGATGCATAATGAGCATTGGGAGGGCAGCACTATCACTGTGCGGTTGATTTATGGACCTCCCTGATGTCAATGGGGGTGAGGCAAGTGGTGAACCCCTGCTGAGAAGCAGCAAGTGAATACAAATCTTGGAAAGCTTGAGTGGCTCCATTCTGCTGGACTTGCCATGCAGAAAGTAACCCAGAGGAAGGCACAGGTCCTCGGGAAGGATTAATCAGCTTCCTAGGACTAGGACTTGATGTGTGCGCTGAGTTACTAAACAGTTGTGGTGCCTGGTGGGGCGGGAGCTCCAGGCATGCGTCTCCTTCATCCAGCTTTCTGAGTGTAAGTAAGTGACCCCTCTTATGGCTCAAGTCTTTCCCCAGGCTTGACTTAGGGAACAGCACTTACTGGTGCTGCAGGGTAATGGTTCAGACCATTGTTCCAGTCTCCCCAGAGGAAGCAGCAGTATTTGCCCTTGAACTTCTCCCCCAACACCCCATGGTGGGGACGTGGTGCTGTGCTGGGGAGGAAGCAAACATAAATGATTATGGCCAGCTCTGGGGTGGCGGGGAGTACACACAGCAGCTGGGAAACTGCCTTCAGTGGCTTTACTTCTGCCAGCCAAAGGCTTAGGAAAAAAAGCTCTTGTCTTTTCATGTCCTGGCAAACGAAGAGTTTCTCAGCTTCGAAGATGAACACAAGAATACAGAATTAATGTAGAAAAGCCTATTCTCAAACTCTGCATCATGTAGGAAAGCAGAGCACTCTCTTGTGCAGCCGATGAGGAGTGAATCTCTAAAGGGAAGGTGGACACTGAATCCCTGTTTTGAGCTGCAGGACAATGAGGATGTTCCCATGGATACTGAGAACAAGGCAGAGGAGTGCAGGGCCTGGGACTAGCTGGGAATAAACATCAGCTGGAGAGCCGAGAGTCTGCAAGAGGTCAGTAACAGAGACACAGAGACCCGTGTCAAAATGTGAGACAAGGGGCTAGGAAGGAGAGCAGGTAGTAAAAGGGAAATGAATAGTCGGGGTAGGAGTGGCAGTGTGCAAACTGAATAACTGGGTGTCACAATGATCTGGGGAGCAAAGTGTTCAATTGCTTCACACGAGGATTCTTGCTTTTTTGGTAGGTGATTACTTTTGCAAGCTACTGCTCATTCTCAGAGTGTACAGCTTAAGCTGACATAGTGAGCCTTGGGTTTGGAATAGCTAGTAGCATAACTATTTTCTTTGCTAGTTCAACCCAACCCAATAACATCTCCCATGTCAGAAACCTGAAATCCTTGGCAGGCAGACAAGTTAGGCAGAAGTCCCACATTTGAAGCAGTTGCCAAAACCTTCGTGTGAGCCGAACTCAGTAGCACCTACTGTGCTGAGGTCCTAAGCACCTGAGGCCAGTAGGCACAGGAGAGCTATGGCAGGAGCACATACCTTTCCTCTTCACTAGGTCTGTCAAGCCAGTGTTTGGATGACCATGAGTGGTCTTGACTAAAACTGTACCTAGATGCCTGCTGGAGACAGGTCATGGGAATGGGTTTGGTCACAGAGAGAGCCCATTTTAACATCTAATTGACAGGGAGATGGGGTAGGTAAGTGGAACTAAAAGTAAAGCACAAATTTAAAGCATGTGGCTAATAAGCTGTGCTCTGCATGTTGATCTGGTGCCCTTCCTGGGCTGTGTGACAGACACCTACTTGAAGTTTCGAATCTTCCTTAGCATGATAGCCAGATGGATGAAGCTCCCAGGAGAAAGCTGGAGCCCATCTTTGGCCACAACCCCTTTATAGAAGCTTTTTCTCAGACCCCAAGAGCTTGGTTCTCATTTAGAGTTTGGCTCCTACCACTGCCTGGCAAAATAAAGGCCACTAAAATGCATGTAACACATTCCCAGAGTGGCATAGAGATAAAAAAATCCTTTATTTAAAAAAAGTAATAATCCAGGAGACTGGAAAAATGTCATTTTCAGATTGGAATAGCTGGTGAAATTTAACTTTCATTTGGAATGGAAAGCTGCTTTCCTTTCAGCTTGTGTTGCCACAGGCAATGGCCTCTGCCACACACGTCATGAGCCTTTCAGTGCTCCAAGCGATGCACGACTGTACAGGCCACCCCCAGAGTGAAGCAGCCCCCCCCCAGGTCCCTTTGCTTTTCTCCCTTTGCAGCAGTTGCCTCCGTGTCCCGGATGCTAGCCAAGGCACATGGCAGCCGCTCAGCCTATGTCTCCTCCTGGCAATTGAGATTGGCCAGCAATTATCAGAGTCAGTCACCCCTGGTCAGTGATGAGTGTCTGGCTAAGAAGGTGCTAGTGCTGCCAGTCCTGAGCCTGGACTCTGGTACTGTGGTGAAAGATGCTTGTCTGCATTTAACTAACTCTATTCCAACTTGTTCCAGCGCATTTTAGCAGTCTTTTTTTTTTTCTTAGTAGTAAAACTATACTTCAGAGGTAAACCTAAGTATAAAGGCTGGATGCAAAATACCTCATAGGAAGAAGTCTGACTGCAGAACATAATTTCTTAGGTTGGACCCATCCACCTTTAAATCTGTGACAGTGTTAGCTGTCTTGGAAATAATTTTGTCAGAAATGACAAAAAAACTATTCAAGACATTGCTGATATAAAATTTGTAAGCTAAACATCTCAGGAACTGCAGTAGCTATTCTGGTGCCCATGTGTCTAACTTACCTAATTATGAGAAGAGGATCAGCTCTGAAAAGGTCATCACTAACATTTCTCTGCAGAAAGCTGGTCCCCAGTGTGCTATGGGGTAGAGAAGATGATGACAGCAAATCCTCGTGGGAGGTTTCATGCCTTACACTTCTGCATATAAGCCGTAGCTCTGGCTTTCTTCCTGGTCCTTCATCTTTTCTCACTGAAGCACAAAGAGCTTCATGGGCATGAAGAAAGAATACACACTAATATATTACGTTGTCAAAATACCTCGTAATGATCCTGTCCACTATGAATAATCACCTGCAGCCAAAGGGTAGACCTGCTTTATACTTTAGCACCATGATGGGTTTAGAGAGCTTTTTGCATGTGCAGTGGGAGAAGATGCCAGTCTTACAAGACACTTCACCCCTTATATCAATAGAAAAAGATCTTCCCTGGGCACTGAAGATGCACATCTTCACTTCAGGTTCTGCTTACCCACCATTAAGGAGTTTTTTAGTTCAGTTTTCTGGCACTTCCCAGTGACCAGCACATTTTGACTAAGTTCTCTTCCAAAGCCTTTCCTGTCTGCTTGGCACAACACAGAGAGGAAGAAAAATGCATAATTAAACAATATGCTACAACAACCTTTGCATTACTGGCAATTAATCGAGCATTCAGGCAAGGTTCTGAGGCACAAGTCCAAGCTGTAAGTGGCTGCAGCTACCCAAGAAGTTCAATAATCCCTCCAACTATGCACTGCCTCAGGTGCCTGAGAGGTAATAGAAAATGGCATATACAAATAGGAACAAGTTCTTTTTGTCCTTTGCTTGGGTGTTGTTAATGTTGTTATTACATTACTGAAAACATGAAATCTATGACATTTTCACCTATCACAATGTTAAATTTAATGTTATATTGGATGTCATAGCAAAATGGGATATCTGCTAAGAAAAAGA